CAACAGCGACACAGCTGAGTAAAAGAAAATATTGAAGTGTCCGATCTCGGGGAACTGCTGCCGGCGGCTGGACCCACCTTGCTGCACTAGAGATGGGGGATGGGTAGTCATACCGATGCCCGCGCAACCAAGGGCTGCGGGGGGGGCTGGACAATTTTTGGCCCTGACCCAAATGTACGCTCTCGGGTTCCCTACACATTAAACCCGATCTTGTCTCGCATCACGTCTCAGTGGGGAGACAGGGTAAATATCATATTTACTTCGCAAGGGAGTTAACCATTAGTCAATGAGGGTTTGTTGAGGCGTGGTTAATGCCCCTGTGCTGTAAGTGGAACTATGATTCTCCTCATTTTAGGTGAGAGAAGTTGATCGGTCCCGGGGATTCCAACCCTAAGGTAGGACCTCCCTCATTGTACTAAAGAGGTTGGGTCGGTGTAATATCGATGCCAGCGTGACAGTGGTCGCGGGGTCTTGGCAAAAATCAAATTCTGTCCTTGACTTATATGCATAAGTATGCGTATGTCGCTCCCCACGTTAAAACCACCTTGTGTCACATCCAGTCTTGGTGGGGAGGCCGGATCAATAGTACTAGAAGAATGACCAAGATTTTATATCAGTGCCTATAATATCAACAACACAAAATACGCGGATGATATACAGGGAGCGATGGATAAACTGTCGCCATATTGTATTTTTAATTTCACGCATGCGCGTTGTCTTTTTGTTTGTTTGTTTTTTGTTTTTTCGTTGACTGCACAGTATAGTCGGGTCAGTTGAGCACTGTCTGTGAGAAAAAAATATCACGATGACGCAATTCACTTCGCCAGAAATTTGGAAACGGCATACTTTACTGCTTGGCATTCGCGCCGGAACATTTAATACAAACATTCCAGAGTGTTGGGCGTCAATCTGAGGACAATGCAGAGAATTCGGAAAGAGTTAGATGAGTCTCATGGTGATTACGAAGGAATTTGGATTGATTAGTAGTGATTACCAGACTCAACACGGAGGCCTAACTCAAGCACCTTGAGGAAGTAGTGCAGCTCTGGGTGAAGAGGGTGGATGTCTGTGTTATAGTGGAACACACCTATTCTATAGTTAATAGACTCTCCCACCTATAATGAGTAGGAGTCGCTCAGTGAGTTGGTCAGTCAGTCAGTCGATGCCGGACGACCGTTAGTCGGATACTGAAGTATCAGCGACCACCACTAGATTTCTCTGCGTCATTACCCATTATATCAAGTTCCTAACGTTTTGTACGTCAAACGTATCTTAGGACCGACTTAGTACAAATACAAGCCTCCATTGTGAAACCACTCTACAACAGTCTGACAACAGGACTCCGCACCATGCCACATAAGCAGGAGAACCCAGTCATGACTGTCAGACAATTTCTGCGACTACATCAACCCTTACATCTGTCCATCTAACTCCCCAGACTGCAACCCCCTTGATTATTATGTGTAGAGCGCAGTTGAGTGGGAAACCAAAAAAAAACTCTTTGCAGTACCAAATATGAAATGAAGACAAGTATTGTGGCAGCATCGACCAACTTAAAGAAGGAGACCGTCCAAAAGAGTTGCAAGAGATTCCGAAGTCGTATTGAGGCCGTAGTTGAAGCCAATGGCGATTTTATTGAATAAATTTACTCTTTCGTATTTCAAAATATTTTTGTGTAATTTTGGTAAATATATCTGTTAAAATGAGATGTCAGTGTTATTTTCATTTTTGCGTCATTTAGACGACAATTTATCCATCGCACCCTGTATGTGCTGATGGCGAACTCAGATGGAAAAACTACAAAAACTCCGAGAAAAAATAACAAACGAAAGCGAAAAATGCTAACTATTAACTATAAGAAGAGAGAATGTATTGTCGTCAGTGAGAAAGCCAGTCAATGGCGTAGGCTTTATATTGGAGACATCAAAATCGAGTAGGTAAACAAATTTAACTATTTGAATCATCTAATAACAGACGAAAGCAATCGTAACACAGAAATACGAAAACGTTTCGGGATATCGAAATCTATATTCCAGAAATTAAGCAAGACTTAAAGACTTGAATATTTCGTTAGAAACAAAGAAACTGTTGAACTACATTGTTATATGTTTGGCAATAAACCCTGGATTTCTTTACAAATGGCGAAGAAACAGAAATATTGTTCTATAAACTGATGATCAACACAAATTTTCTAAAGAAGATGGAAACTAGAAGGACGCTTGTAGTTAAAAATCAGAGACTCTGATTTCTGAGACAATAAGGAAAGAGAGCTTAGAAAATTTAACAATCACAGGATATATTGATGGAAGGGGGAGAAGGGAAAATCAGAAAGTAACCCCCCCACTGAGTCTATGGAAAATAGTAGACCAGGCACAAAGAGAGAAGCACTCAAAAGAGACTAGAGAATTTATGTCCAAATTCTCACTGGAACTCCCCAAAAATGGTCCGTGCTTCGAACCTGAAGAATAAATACCATATATTTCCGCGTATAAGACGACCTTTAAATCTTAAAAATGAACACACCAAATATAGGGAGTCGTCTAATACAACAGTTGCAATAAGCTAACCTTAAATCCAGTGGTGTATTGACACTTGTAAGTAGGATGAACCCGAAATGCGATCTGAAGGGCGGGAACACTAGAATCAAGCAGACGTGAAAGTTTAAATATCTGGAAAACGTCTTGACAAAGGACGGTAAGTGAGACACTGAGATCCGTAGACGTATAGGGATGGCCAAGGACACAGTCCAAAATCTGGGCAGAGTATTGCGAGACAGGAGGATTTCTTTGGTAACAAAGAAAAGAATACTGAGCTGTTACGTGACATCTCGAGGCGACAGAGATGTGTTTCTACAGAAGGATGCTAAGGATATCATGGACCGAGTGTGTGAACAACGATGAGATGTTAGAGAGGTTGCAAAGAAGGAGAAGCTTATACTTAATATCAAGAAGAGGAAGCTAAAGTTTCTGGGACTCATAACAAGGAAGGAGGGCCTGGAGAATCTGATACTCACGGGTCGAATAGAGCGAAAGAGAGACAAGGAAAAAAACAAATGACATACCTAGCGGGTTTAAGCAAGTGGATGACAGAACGTAGTCTGGGTAAGGTGGCAGAGGGAAAGAACTTGTTGCAAGGGATAGAAGCGGGTGGAGAATCATGATCGCCTAAATGGCACATAAAAAGATAAGAAGAAGTAGACTAGTATGCCTGCGCCATGGATCGCGGTATGCTAACAACTGCCTCAGTATGGTATCTACTGTTGTAAATATTTCTTGTTGAAATAATTCACATTATAATTCTGTACTGCATTTATAAATATAATAGAACTATTTTTACTTTTAATCCACCTCTTCTCTCTACCACCCCAGCTATGGGTTAATTAGTAGGATTTAACTCATTATTATTTCCAAAATAAATTCTTTCAATCTAATAATACATTCTGGCTTTAAAATAACCCACAAAAGATTGATAAACCGTAGCAAAAGGAAATCGATATAATCCTTCTCTGGTTGCCACCTGAAGCTAAATGAGTCCGGTTAGCGTTGTTATTTAACCCATAGCTGGGCAGAAGAGATTGGTTCGTATATTTTTCCAAGAGTACTTGTGTGAAAGCGAACGCAACAAATTCGGCAAGATTCAGAACACGGCTTATTGGTTCCTCTTACTGAGTGGTTAATCGTGACTCTACATCCTCCTATTTCTGGATAAAAAGATTTTAGAACATTCTTTGTGGAACTTCGACAACTCCGACAAGTAAAGATAGAATTCTAATCTGGTGAACTTTCTATGCGACAGACTTACATCAAATGTCCCGCTGTCCAGCTAACAGACCGTTTTAAGACTGAAATTAGCAGCAAGCCAAAATGGCCGTACAGTTTCTGAGCGAACGGCATTAGAGGTCGATGATAGGGCGAGATACGTTATGAACGAATAAACTATTTCCAGCATTATGGCGAGGTTCAGAGTAAAAGGAAAAGGTGAATACAGAGAGTCAGAAGCCAAAACTCTTCCCCAGCTGATGCTTTGTCTATGAAAAATATCCTTACAATGAAATATGTCTATCGAACGTTTCAAATTCTAAGATACAGGCATCAAAAGATTCTGCAACTGCTTTTACTTACTTTAATGACATGCCTCTTCAGAAAATAATAAATCATATCTCTCCACAGCTTCCTTTTTCTTTAATCTCTGTGAATTGCTATTAATGGGAATGATGTAAAATCAAAGTTGTCATATTCAATACCCCCGAATTCAAGATCGAAATGTTTCATCATCGCGGTGAATTTCCTTCAGTCAAGATGAACGTTTGTAGTCCAAAATGAGTGTCTTTACTTTGAACTACACTCCATACCTCAAATGGAACTTTTATATATATATATATATATATATATATATATATATATATATATATATATATACATGCATATATATATATATATATATATATATACACGATGATGCATATATATATATATATATATATATATATATATATATATATATATACACGATGCATCGCTGAAGATGCTGGCCAAAATGTTCGCTTCCTTGTACCGTTTCAAAAAGCACCTGACTTCTCCAAGCCTGCTTTATCTTTACAAACGTCAGATCAGACCAAACATGAAGCGTTGTTACCTGAGCTACAGTTTCCCAATTTTAGCTCTTCAGCCTGTGTATAATTCAAAATCTTCTACGCGGCGTTGTGGGTGATGAATTATTTCGACCCAACCGTCTCATCCCACAGACGCAAGCCTATAGCTTCTATATTGCTATTTCCATGGCAGATGTTCTAACGAGCTACATTCTTTACTTCCACCAGTTCAGACCTTTACAGTTAGGACCTGCCATGTCACCTATGCGGTGTGAATCATTTGTATTCCCTTCGTATACCATTTGTAAGGAGTAAGTCCCACTAAGTCTTTTCCCGATAACCGCTACTTTGTGGAACAAACTCTGGTGAAGAAACTTTCCCGATTACTGTGGAATTCCCTTCCGTTTACCTGCTTCCCTGATGACTGGAATCTTCAAAAATTTAAATGCAATGTCAATCGCCATCTTCTTGAATCCTGTTCATCTTTTGTTCTTTCCTCAATCCTTCCTCTTCTCTGTTTTCTCTTTTACTTTTACTCTCTGTAACACACTGCGTATTAGTGGCATTCCCGCGCTGCTTGGTGTGAAATTAAAAAAAAAAATTTAAATTAAAAAAAAAAAATTAAAATTAAAAAAAAAATTAAAATAAAAAAAAAAATTAAAATTAAAAAAAAAATTAAAATTAAAAAAAAAAAATTAAAATTAAAAAAAAAAAAAAATTAAAATTAAAAAAAAAATTAAAATTAAAATGTCACGTTGAAACACCAGTTCCCGTCCGATCACCGAAGTTAAGCAACGTCGAGCCTGACTAGTTTTAATCAGGGGTGTTCAATTCCAGTTGGGTCCGTTGTATTCACTTATGCGCAACTTCTCTTGGAAAAGGTATGAGTTCACCTCTCACCCCGAACTATGGGTTAGTTAGTAAGACTTGTATCACTAAATCATGATTATCTAAAAAAAAAAAAAAAAGACTTCTTACAATCTAAAAATATTTTGGGCTTTAAATAACCTAAAAAGAGTTGATAAGCTGTAAATAAATAAATAAATCATTTATACAAATGTACCAGTATTTCAAATCAATCAACCCGATCACTATAATTTTAACTTCTTCAAGTCTAAGGTCAAGTGTTATCTATTGCAGATCTCCTCATAATCTTCACTTATTTCCTCCTTTTATTTCGATAAAACAAGCTAATTAAGTAATGCTCTACTTTGAGTGGCTCTTGAGCATTATATTGGGTGAAAATTTTAAATTGTTTAAAAGTAAACAAGAGGCAACAGCCATGCATCGACGGTTACCAAGTGCGTGTCGATACTTATCGTGTCGATTCTCACTGGTTGCTCTAACTTTTTGGCCCTGTGCCAGCCTAAGAAAAGCTAAGGAAACATAGCTTGAAAAGGAAAGTGGTAATATTTCGAGGTGACTGTATTTGTAAGCAGGTCATAATACCTTTAATTAGTCTTGCTTATTGAAACACCATCAAGGTTTCTCTATTGGCTTTCACTCTTATTTAATAAGAGACGAAACCTTGGCAGTTATGCAATTACTGGCATTCTGCCTTCTAGATGCTTTCATTCTTTGGGCAAAGTTCAAAGTTAGTTTTACAAGTTACTGCAACTTGCAGGTTTCGAACAAATGTCAGCAGTCCTGCTGGTGGTTTCAGTTAAAGAGGTTTATTTTTCTCCAATTATTTTTTTGTCATTTTACCATAAGAAATGCGATAATGCCAATATGACGCTAGGGGTTAATGAGAATTAAAAAATAAGTGAGAAGACCTTAGTAAGTAGATAGGACAATAAAAGAACAGTTTACAAGAAGACAAAAGATGGCGATTCACGTTGCATTTCAATTTCTGAAGATCCCAAGTGACAGAGAAGCAAGAAATGTGAAGAGAATTCCACAGATAAGAAATGAGAGAGAAGAAACTATTAGAATAGAACTTGCGGTTGCAGCTATCTATTTCATAAGTAAATCGGCGAAATCTGAAAATATTTATAGAAAAGACACAGAGAAGCCACGTGACGGTGGTGAGAAATCGACTGAAGTCAATATGCCAGGTCAAGACCTATAACATTACAGACCAT